GCAGTTCGACCTGCGTGTTGCCAATTTTCCGCAATTTTTCGTTTTTTTTGCCGGGGATATCCGGACAAACGCCCACCCCTTCTTTTTGGTGATTTTCCATGTTCAAGACCCTGGGCTTATACCCAGATAAATACGGTAACTAAATTCTTGAAATTGATTGAATTCCTGTCACGTTACATGATAATTTTTGATATATTTTTTCCCAAATAGCGACATCGAAACAGCATGAAGTTGATGAATATTCATTATAGTGAACATATTTTAATCATCTTTTAATTGTGACGTTCCTGATGTTATTACATCAGAAGCGAATATACCAATGAGATGTAATGAAGCCAATGTAAACTCTGGCTATTTATCTATCATGTGATCGTATATTAACCAATCAATGTATCATTTTATTTGTGTGTTCTAGTCAGATACTCAAGACCAAGTGTTCATACAGTGGACTACTGGTGAAGCGGCCACCATGCATATATTAGTGGTACATGCCATGGTAATATTGTTAACATACGGCCGACCACAAGGTAATCGTACAATCCGACATCCCAGTGAAATATTTGCTCCACAATTTGCATGATTCTCATTAACTCCTGAAATTTGTGAAAATTTATGTTTTGTGAAATTGGTGCCCAGTATTTTGGAATTGCGCAACCCTGAGTAGTTTGTATCAGCTTCTTCCCAGCTCTGGGTATAAAAGAGAACCACAAAAAAACTGCGAACTAAACATCATGATAATACTGGTTCTTTTTGTGTCACATGTCATAGTGAGATGTGAATTCAACAATGATTTTGTTTTCTTATAATCATGTAGGTGACAGTAACTTTGACTATTTGTTGAATGCATGGTTTCCTAGCAACCAACCATCACCATCAGCTTTTCTAGTAGATACGTCTGAGGAAGCTTTACTCCTTCCTGATTGGTTAAAACTGAAGATGATTAGATCACATGTTTCAAGACTGGTTGATGCTGGTAAGATGACATTTGACCTCCATCTGTTTGTTTGTGGATCATTTCTGAATTTCAATTGTTGTTCCTCTGTTTTTTATTAAAGAGGAATACAAATCTTGTCACAATTTAAAATTCAGTTTAGTCAAAAAGCGATTAATTCCTATTTTGTTACGCTTATCAGCTCTGGAAGATTTGGAACCTGCTCAGTTGGTTTTATTTGTGCAGTCCTTTGGTATACCAGTAAACAGCATGAGGTAAAGCTTTTTTTCTAATCTATGTAATGACTAATGACTAATGACTAATCTATGTAATGACTAATCTA